TCGATTCAGTCGTAACAACGTTAGTGAGGAAATTCGAGTAGTTTTGACCCAGAAAGCGAAATTTGAATATCAAACACTTAGGTTCAAGATTATGCTAAAATTTCATGTTTTCCGTCCCGTTTTTGCTCATTTCTCGGAGGCAAAATGAGCAAGAACGCTCATTTGTACATCATTCTAGAGTGCAATTGGGTGAAAGTTTCCATAGTGAAACCCATGTTTTTCAAACTGATAGAACTCATGATTCTGGGTAATTTTTATGAAACTCTGCATCTTTAGAGTCAAGTGTCTTTCTTCTACAGATAGAGAAAATTTATAGCCATCAACAATTTTGATACCGACATTTCCTAAGCTGGTAGAGCTCAGGTAAACTACGTTTTTTTTGAGCAATTTCAGTTTTCGCGAAAAATAGTCGCGGGTGTTTTTCGAGCTTTTGTGGCTTATAACAAATATGTATATGGCTCATATCAGTGAAATATTGGAACCTTCTACAATTAAGAAACATTTTGAGCGACCAGAAAGACATTTTGCGTGTATGTCTGGTGGCATAGGCGCAGACCAGCTCTGGTTTCAACTCGTTTCTGATCTTCTGACAGACAACTTCTGGTCTTCTTCACTAGGATATGTTAGGTTATTGACATTGAATTGAGTTGTTTACACGCTGGACTTGTATCATCAAAACGAAAGTTGTTTATTAGTCTATATTAGTATTTTCAAAAGAATTTGCCGCAAAGTTTTCCGGATCAACCAGTTAAATATAATGGTAAGCTACCAGTTAAAGTGTTCTCAACGTTCATGAATTGAAAGTTTGCCTTCAGTTAGGGTTTTCCGATTTAATAAAATTAAGTTGTAGAATATCTCAGCTTAAATTAACAATTGTGAGAATCGCATTCCGCGTGATCGCACAAACAGATTCATTTATACAGCTATGCTCACAGCACATTTCAGCAACAACAAAATGTTAATAAAAACCTAATACTTTTACTCTTTTTAAATAGGATAAAATATCGTTGATAAAGCAAAACGAAAACGAGACATTATTGACTGAATATACCTCAAGTAAGTATCAGCGTATATTTTCTATTCGCAACAATTTCGTTAAATTAAACGTGTTTTAGTTCTCTTAAAAAATATCGAGGAAGGAGTTGCCACTCATGATCTGAACCAAGTGCAACAGGATCTTAAAAAACTGCAATGGACTATGCGAACTAGGTTTTTTCAGGGCGAATATGCCGAACCTAAAAAAATGGATCCGCATCAAGAGAGAAATGGCTATCCTGATTCAGTAAGTCCTATATCTATGCTTCAATGAGATTGGTCATTAAAATTCTTTAGTCCTCATTAAAAAGAAAAAGAGCAGACGACACGTCGATCTGCAGGGATATTAAAAACGACTTGAGACTCATTAAAAGAGACTTGGGATTCCACGAGAAGAAGGTGCTTGAACTAACTTTACCGAAAGAAGATAAAAGTTTACTTTCAGTTGAGCCATACTGCGTATTAATTAATAAAGCTAATTCTTCCGTAAGTATACTCAAACTAATTTTGTGTGTGTAAACATAATAACAAAACTTTTCTCAGTTTTTGGATGCGCTGATCCAAGAAACTTCAAAAAATAGCGACAAAAAAGTACAAGAAATCTCAAATGCTGATGAACCTGTCGCCAAATGCAGCAGAAAAATGTCAGATTCCAAAAGAAATGGATTACACCTGTAAGGGCTGGCAAATTTGACTGGCTTGAATTATTCAAATTATGTATTTTGATTTTATTTAGAACTGTTGATGCCTTTGGTGCTGTCACTCAAAAATTGTTGTCGGCTTTGATCCAGGACAAACCACCTGTAAGTTGCAGTGATAAGGCTCCTCATGTTACGAGACAGTCGGAAAATGGAGCAAAATCAACTAAAATAAAAAGTAAAAACCCCAAGCAGATTTGCACAGTTTAACAATTAAAAAATAATAATTTGTAGACAGAAATTCCTTAGATAGAAGACTGCTAAAAGAGCTGGTCGATCAGGGGATTCTAACGCCTGAAGATATAAATAAGGTTGGTATGTTTCAATACACTCCATTTTCTATCATCTATACACGCTGTGTTTTTATTTTATGCCACAGGATACCGGTGATGAGGAGACTTCAGCGGAATCCAAAAAAGGCCACAGTTAGATTAGTCTATCCACTAGTTTTATTATGTAGAATATAATTGTCGATAGTATTTCTTATTGGTTTACGAAAAAGCAATAAATCCCATTTTATAAAGCGTTTATTTTAGTATTAACTTAACTAGAAATCTTCGTTGCCTTTATTAGGTGCTCAAAAACGTTTCTTCATAAAAATAAAAATTGCCCCAAAATGTTTTAAATCATTTTTCATTTCGATTTAAAACCATCAATACATTTTGGGAAGTGTTACAGCAGGCAAATGGGCACAGACTTTAAAAACTTAACGCAATTTATTTAAATATGTTCCTTCAATTTGATTTACAAAAATTTTTCACAAGGCGCTAAATGTATTTTTTTTTTTAACGCACAGATTACAACCTCTGTGATCTGTGGCTACACGCAAGTGTAGTTTGAAGCACAGAGCACAGATGACACCTGAGCGTTTATTTTCATGCGTTTACGTCAGCACCCTCGGGAATTTGTGTATTGCCGATTGCCTAAAATCGGTGAGAGCAAATTCACCTGGTCTAGACCAGGTGAGTTACAATTTACATGTGTGAGAATCTTACTATTAGGCGCAAACACAGAACTGACGGAATCAAGAGTTTGGTAATCTGTGATAGAGAAATAGATTAATATCGCTTGTGAATATCAAATTTGCTTCTCACCGACTTTAGGCAATCGGCAATACAAAAATTCCCTGGGAGCATATTCGTAGAGGCATGAGAATAAACGCCCTGTGGTTTGAAGTGATGATTGACGTATTGTCAAATAAGGTTCACAATCACATGTTTTCTGGGTCACATGTTCATATTTTCTAATTTTCTTTCCAAAACAAAAGTATAAGTAGCCTAAGTAACAAATATTTCTCAAAAAAATGTTGGTCGCCAAACGTTCCTCATATACTTCTTCAAAAAGTAGCAAATATTCTTGCAAACTTAAAGAAATGTTAAGTTCACCTCATCCAAAGTTAGTAGATCCCAAAGTTCCAGATATTAAGGATTTTTCTACTGTTCCCCTGATGAAGCAAAGCGAAAATGATGCATTATTGCCCAAATATAAGTCAAGTAAGTACTAATTTTCTCAAAAAACACATTTGAAGCTTCTGTTGACAAAAGCTACATTTATTAGTATTGATCATTCTCCTAGCCATAATTCTAAAACATCTCTAATTCGTTAATGAGCAAGTGAAATAAAGTTCTGCAATATTTTTCTGACAACTGTTTTTCATTTCATCACCAAAACTCATGCATTTAGAGAGTTATCTATATATATGTTCTAGTTCTACAAAGAAATGTTGAAGAGGGAGTTGCAATGGATGATTTGGATCAGTTGCAACAAGACCTCGAAAAACTGTTGTGCACTAATGCCATAAGAACTCGATTTTTCTTGGGAGAATACTCTCAAGCGGAACAAAAGAATAGTCATATAGAAAAGAGAGGCCACGATAGGGTAAAGAGTAGAAGAATGGATTCACTTTTAACATCTAATTTAACAAAAATAATCGCAGGTATCATTAAAAAGAAAGCGACCAGATGAAAAATTTAACTGCAAGGATGTGAAAAAAAATATTAAAAGAGATCCATTTAGATCATACAGTGAAAACTCTTACAAGGAGATACCAAAGATTACTCTACCGAGAAATGACAATTCTGACAAATTTTTTGCGTCTATTGAACCGTACTGTGCCCCAGTTAGTAAAGACGATGTAGTAGTAAGTATAAAAGAGTTCTTCATGAGAACCGTAAATGCACTGAAAAAAAATAGGGCAGAATTCAATGTCGATATATTTTCAGTTCTTGGATACACTTATTCAAGAATTTTCAAAAACTGTTGACAAAAATATACCGGATATTGGCGAACATTATGCCAGTTCTTGGTCAGAAGAACTTCTTAATGAAGAACAAAATGAAAATGGCTCAAAAGTGACGAAAGTGAAGGGTAAATCAGTGTATCCGCAATCTTTGTTTGATACTTATTTTTGCTTGCTTCAGCTTCAGAATCCTCCAAAGTGAAGGTTTCGACCGGCCATAAAGTTGGAAGTTGTTTAGATAAGAGATTGTTAAAGGAGCTGGTTGAACAAGGGCTATTGTCTAATGACGATGTAAATAAAGTGGGTCATTCGAGCGTAATTAATAATTTAATATTTTTCATGCAAACATATTTTTTAGGATGAGGCCCCTGACGATGAAATTCTATCAGAAATTAAGAAATCCTATGAAGAATTGAATACAGTGAACAAATTTAATCTTGAAGAATTAAATAAGCTACGCTCAGCAGTTTTGAACGACATTCACTGCAATGAGCTCAAAGATGATCTAAACAAAATTGATAAAGAGGTATACACAAATATATATATATTTAAATTTAAGTGCTGATAGTGAAGTTTTTAGGTATTGGACCTCTATAACAACATAATGCGCGCAAGATTGCAGGATGATGGCAAAGATTACGATAAAATATTTTCAGAAAAAACTATTAATGAGTTCGAATGCAAAGCAAACGCTTTATTAAGACAACAACATGTTTTAAATCGAGAAATCAATAGTATGGCGGATATGTCAATGCTTTATTGATGGTTAAATTCAATATAATCAGATTCTTGACTGATACCACCCACCCTTGGGGACGGTACATTTATAGAATCTGGTTATATTGAACAGATCTTAATGATAAGCAGGGGCGGTTCCTCAATAAGTATTAATTGATAGAACCTTTGACGCCTGCAGAATTTTTTCTCTGCGGTGGTCGGTTTGCTTTATTTCCATTTTTATTAACAATATTTTAAATTATGATATATAAAAATATGCTCCCAAAACATTTTTACTAGTTTATATAAATGTGCACTACCAAAGTTTTATTCCAATTATTCCTGCCGCATGTAAGTTTTTTTGACTAGTGAGAAAGCAGGTTTTTTTTCTTGTAATACTGTGTAGAAAGTTATATAAATGTAAGTTGAATCGCGGTTATACTACAAGATTTTTCTAGTTGTTTAATTTGATATAGGTATTAGGTAATATATTTGAAATGAGAAAAACATTTATGTGAAGGAAAACACGTTTTTGACATTATACTTATTATTTAAGTAAGCAATATAAAATGTAAATAACTGAGACTGAATTTTTATTGCTAGAAATAATCCTTTTGCCGGTATTATAGTTATGCCTAAATCCTAGGTATTATGGAAACACCAAGAAATAAAATAAACGTTTATTCATAAAATATTCGCAAGTATATAAAAAATTGTTCATCATTGGACGACTGTTAATGTAACATATACATTATTTAACAAACATTTATAAAAACTTATATTAAATGTTGCCTGCTGCTAAACGAACTTGACTTGACAATAATAAACATTAACTATCAATATTTCGATTCTTAAAAATTGACATCCTCTCGAACTTTTGCAACTACAAGACTCCAAGCCAGATCTTGAACTTTACAAGTCACTACCTGGGTATTGAGCATATCCAAAATTCATTTCCTACAAAAAATAATCTCATGTGATAATATAAATGTGAAAATCCTGTTTCCAAATAATATACACTCAGATTTTGGCAAAATTTGATCATTTGTCGCACACTTTTAGTGATAACAATACCTAAAGCACGTAAATTTCCCATGAAAACGGTAGATACCAGATCTCCAATTTAAAATGGAAAATGATCTAAGCAATTCTAGGAAACAGCAACGGGCTGGGAAAGAAAGTGTGGAGAAATACTAATATTTCCAGCCCCATTAAACCAGTATCATGAAATTTTCAATATATTCTTAAGATCATCTGGAAGAGATGTTACAACATCTTGCATCCTTTCATTTAGTTGTTGCTTCACGGTTTCACTAACAGGAATCTCATTTTCACATTCTCCAATTTTGTTCTTCAACCGCAGAACCATGTCTACCACTTCAACTTCAGGGCGATCTTGCACCCAATTTTTCAAATCCTAAATTAAATCGCATTTAGCAAAGCTAACTGAAAACTCGTCTTGCTTACTTACTGCGTTAGACAGAGCTTCGGTATGAAGGGCTTGCAATTTTTGAGCCAATTCCCTATACCTTGAATGGTACCAGGAATTAAAATTGCGGGATCGGAAAAACTTTCTGTAGAGGCCTGTCCAGTCTCCTTTTATGTTTGTTTTGTTGAGAGTTAACTGCGGTCCACCTGTGTCCAATGTTGTAAAGAAGTTCTCTGGATTGAAAGGACTGGGAATGGGTACGGCCTAACCATCAGTGTATTTTTACAAAAAATTATTCCTAGAATTCGAATAACATACCTTGAAAGCAGATATATCTTTCTGTAATGGCATCAAACTAGCAATATATCTCTCCAATGGGTACATGAAGCTGTGAGTTAGTTCCAGTAAATGCTTCCTTAATAAGGCAGATTGAGCTTCGTCGGGCCGGTTAGAACTTACCCCAGTCATCAGATTTTTAATAATATTTTTATCTTTTTGCAAAAAGGGTTTATATGATGTATAAATTCCTGAAGAGTTTTCAATCATTTTTGATAGGGCTGGCTTCTTCACTTTGTACTTTGAATTCTGACCTGCAAAGTTATAGGCGATGAAGTAGGTATATTTAGTTCGTAAGTTGGCAAGCGCTTACCAGCGCCATCATTCAGTATAATCGTATGGGGCCAGTGTTGAAAAGTTTTGGCAAAAAATGGATTTGTTACCCCCAAAATGGCGGGAGGCGGAAAACGAGGGAAACGTTCCTTACAAGTGTATTGCTTATATTGTTTAAATTCACTATCATGTATGGTAAAGTAAGGTCGATAATCTCCACAGAACTGCAGTGGTGAAATCAGCCTTAAAGTGAAATGTTTAGATTTTCAGTGATTTAGGATTTTAATTCAAGTTACCTAGTCAATGCTAAAACCATAGAGGAACAATTTGTAGGAGATGAAGCCATAACAACAATAGGCTCTGATGTTATAACAAGTTCCCATAACAAATGAATATGAGATAAGACAGGTTTGAAAAGTTCAAAGAGATTTAACTCCTCCACTTGAGTTAAAACCTTAAATTCTCCGAATTCATTTCCTCTAACGGAGCTTACAGGGATGCAAGTCTGAAATAAGTAAAATGTATATTAAAGTCGTGTCGCTAATAATATGCAAGAATACCTGAAAGACCTGTCCTAAAATAGGCAAACCCAAGCTTATTCCAGGCGTTGGGGGTGGCCATCGTTTTATGTTATTACAAATTGCTTCTAGACATTTTTCCCCATGATCAAAATATTCAGGTGCAATATAATCGCATATTTCGGTAAACAAGTTATTAAAGGGAAGGTAAGACAACAGCACAAGGCTCTAGAAAAAACGTATATACTGAATTTGAAAGCTTGCTAATAGAACAAATTCTTACTTTCTGAAAATATCCTCTGGGTAGATTAATATCTCTGACTTGCCTGAAATAAACATAGCCCCAAATATACCCTTCATCTATCTTCAGCGCAGGGGGACATTTCATATTATAATTGACATGTTCAGAATTAAAATCTCTTTTGCTTTTAGTAGGTAATCTTATAACAAACTTGGTATCTCCCATACATCCTGAGTTGGAGTCTGGGAAAGCTGAGTAACAAATATTCGATATTTCCTGTTCAGTCAGTTGAACATGTTTGGGATACTGGGTCTAGAACAGTGAACATTTAACTCAGAACTTCGGGTTTTAATAATTAAATGATATGAAGTTGAAATATACCTCTAGGGCCTGTCCTAATTCTAAATCAAATGTTACAACACAAATGCAATGTAACCAATTGCTGAATCCTTCCCACACATTAGCCGAGACAAAATCAGTATTGTTACTATCATTTTGTCCATCTGTCATGTTTATTTATCACTAACAAACGAAAGAAAAACAAACATAACTTTCTAACCATTAATTTAACCAACAAATCGGGTGAACAATGACAGGTGATTGACCATCAAAAATCAACAACTGATCAGAGTTGCCATCCTACTAATTTTTGTGAGTGTTTATCTGATTTTCACTCCTTTTCGACGACTTTTCCACATGATACAATGAATACAAGGTAGGATCTTGCGTCGATTTGCGTGACGTCAGTGGAGGTCAATGCGTTTCGTAATTTTTTCCTGTCTGCTAAATGTGATTAAATCTAGCTTATTTAGTTTTTATCACATTTAATTATTTTTTCATAAATCTTCTTTATAATTACAAAATGCTTCGCAGTAGGTTTTAAACTTGAAAATGAAAAGTAACAAAAATTTATTTATTTTGTAGGCTAGCATAGTTGCCAAATCTGCAATAAAGTATAGCGTTTGCTTTTGGCAAGTACCCCCAAAGTTCGAATTGCAAATTCCTCTCATAATCATCATTTTTGAAATGCTGAGGGCATATTCGTATCCGCATGACAACAAGCATTTTCCTATAGCTTGCACACGTTCTACAGTAAACTATCCAACTGCTAAACGCGAAATGCTCAGTTGTTTGTCTACAAGATTCCCAAACACGCCCAAACGCATTCACCCCATGATTCAATGAATTCATTGAATGGTACAATGAATTAATTGTTTCGTTTGGCTCTACCGGATTTTACGAATGACGCTCTGGCAACACAGCAAGCTAAAACGCTGAAAATCAGAGATCTTGTAAATACTTTTTTAGGGTATTTTTCTTCGCAAGAAGCCCAAATCAGGTCCCAAACGCGATTTTGAAAGCATTGAGCTATACAACAATGCAAACCATATACTCATATAACGTTTCACTTTTGAACTATTGCGTTTTAAATTCAATGAAAATCTGTCTAGGTTACATGCATTTTAAATGGGATCAGCTGTTCACTTTACCAAACTGCTAACCAGTGACGTCATGTGTGCACGAAAATCGAGTTTTCGACCGATTAATATCCTACCTTGTGTTCATTGTATTATGGCTTTTCCATGCATCCATTCACAGAACCATCCATTCAAAGACATTTACTTGTTTTTATTAGAATATTGGCTTCACTGTATTCAAGCTATCGCATTGTCTGTATTTTTTTTATCCCATAGTCCTTAAAAAATAAAGTCCAAAAGAAAATTGAATATGGCGCCAAATTTAAAGCTTGGCCGACCGAGAAAGAACAAGAGAGAGAGCAGAAGGAGCTGCAAATAGAGTGGGAGGTCTGATAGTGAGTAGTCTGTGGCTGACACATTAAACGCTACCACAGAATATCCCCAGGAGATTTTCTGTGAACGCTACTAGAGGGCACCAGCTCCCGAATAAATGAATTTATTTATTTGCAATGGGCGTATTTTAAAGGTAAAAAATTCGTATTTTAATGTAAACTCTTTTCGTTGTTAAACGAGTACCAACCACAATCAATGGGCGGCAAATCGGGGCATACTGCAGACCAACAGAAGACAATGATTTTGCGATTCGCTTTTTTCTGGCATCACTTTCTGTCACCTTAACTTCACAACTTTGTAAATCGCATCAACAAAAAATAGACAACATTTTGTTGGGATCTATTTTAAGGGCCTTCCATAATTTTTAATAAGGCAAAGATCTAAGATAAAGGTAGGCAGTACGTTTAGTTTAATTAAAAGTGCTAAGGAATGGGGTAAACTGAGTAGGGAGAAAAGGCCCAGATTTAAAAAATTACCAAATAAATTTTAGTTTTACAGTTTTTTTGTGTTTCTGCATTTGTTATAGTCGAATGCGTCAAAGTTTTCTGGTTAATTTGTATTATCTCTAATCATCGCAAGGTGAGAGTGAGTCACAACTGTCGAGATACCTTTTATCTACACAATCTAAATAATTATGTGGCGTAGTGTCTATAGCACATGAATCATGGCTTCATTATATTCATTTTCCGTTCAAGTGCGAACTAGTGCGGTTGTTTTCCAATTTTTGGGGAATTTCCTGCAAGTTCTGTTAAAATAATTTGAGTCCTGCCCTATTCGCACAGGCGTGATTGGTAGAATTTCATTGGTTAATCCACTTGACACATGACATTCTACAGTTTACAACACGGTCGGCTTTTAGTTCATCATAATATTGACGGGTATCATGAGATATCGCGATCGCGATGTTAAATTTTCCGGTGAAGTCTTAATTTGTTAAGTGTAGTAAATTAGATTTAATTATGTATAGGCAATTGTGATATCGAATAGCATAAGAAACCAATGACCAATAATTATAATCAAATCAAATGGCGCCAATGATTTACACCCTGTATGGTTTTGCGATATTTTTCTTCGTTTTTTGGTGTGCTATGTGGTTGCTTCACTTAATAGCGATATTCTATGGGTAAGTCTTAATTTTTTCCTTATTTCAAACTAACCTCAAATGCCTGTACACTATTTACAATCCCTCTTACCATGGACTTCTTGTCTTTCCAGAAAGTACAGGCTGCACAAAAAAAACCCAGAGCTCTTGCTGGATGAACCATATCCAGGGGTCTCTATTTTAAAACCTCTCATGGGAGTTGATCCTCATTTAGTTTCTAACTTGGAGACGTTTTTTACTATGAGATATCCCACAGTAAGTTTTTCGTTTACTAACAGACTAATTGCTTTCATTTTATATTAGATGTTTTGTGGAAATATCCAGAAGTAACATTCATAATAATACCACACTTTGGGCTTCATAATAAATTTCATTCTTCTATATCAAAACAGTAGGTACGCGTGTACTACAGGCACAGTATTAAATTCATTTTTTAATTTCCAAATGCTATTCGTTCAAACAATATTATGCATTTAAGAGGAGCAACATTTTTTGAGCCTTTTATTGAATTTAATTGAATTCCACTCAACTCAATGTAGGTTTTCTATTGGCCACCCTCATTAAATTTTTGTGTGCGTTTCTAAACCCAACAGTTAAAATAACTACAGCAATATTGATCAGAATCCTTGCTTCTTAATACAGTGTATTCAAGGACAATTTTTACTACACACCTTATGCTATCATAGCTTGCTTTAATAAGCTGTTGACTACTGTCCACACCACTAAAACATACTTAATGCCGCATACCTACTTTACTATTTTATAACTCTCAATTAACTGCCTGCCTGACAAACTCCCGAGCTTGATTAACATTTTTTTACATTTTACCAAGTTTATTTTTTTGTGTACCCTTTGAAAGCCAACTTTCGGATAATAATCGCTGTAATTTACATTAATAGAAAAATATACAGGGTGTCAGGAAATGGGGACAAAGTTTTTCGAAAGCTGAAAAATAACGGAGCTGCAAGGCTTTGAAGTTAGATTTAATATTTTATTTGCTTGTTCACTTTTTCAATTCAAATTTCACATTCACCCCTTAATTCTATTGGGGTGGAATAAAAAGCTGTAACTTTTTTACTTTTTAGCAACTAACAAAACACGGAATGAAAGAACCTATAAAAACACACAAAAGAGGTGAAAAAATCTCTGAAAATAAGCTTGTTTTCTTTGACAATCTGTATATACCTACTTCTCGCAACTACAAGCTCTCATTAGAAAATTCCTAATTTCTAAGCAAGGACAAATAAAAACTTGAAATTTTCACAGTTTCTAGAGAAGATCTGATTCTAAATCCCCTGAAAATGCCATCCAAATCATACTCGATCCTGATTTTTGCCAACTTTGAAAGTGTTGGTCGAAAAATTTCTACTTCTCGCAACTGCAAGCTCTCATTCAAAAATTCCTAATTTCTAAGCAAGGACAAATAAAAACTTGAAATTTTCACAGTTTCTAGAGAAGATCTGATTCTAAATTCCCTCAAAATGCCAACCAAATCACACTCGATCCTGATTTTTGCCAACTTTGAAAGTGTTGGTCGAAAAATTTCTACTTCTCGGAACTGCAAGCTCTCATTCAAAAATTCCGAATTTCTAAGCAAGGACAGGTAAAAACTTGAAATTTTTACAGTTTCTAGAGAAGATCTGATTCTAAATCCCCTGAAAATGCCATCTAAATCACACTAAATCCTGATTTTTTCCAACTTTGAAAGTGTTGGTCGAAAAATTTCTACTTCTCGCAACTGCAAGCTCTCATTTAAAAATTCCCAACTTCTAAGCAAGGGCAACTATAAACTTGAAATTTTCATAGTTTGGGTTCATAGAAGGAATTTTATTCTGAATCCCTTGAAAATGTCATCTAAATCGTACTCGATCCTGATTTTTGCCCCCCTTGTAAACGATCTGAATGCTGATCGAAAAATAAATCATTCTCGCAACTGCAAGCTCTCATTCAAAAAATCCTAATTTCTAAGCAACAACAAGTAAAAACTTGAAATTTTTACCGTTTCTAGAAGGGATGTGATTCTGAATCCCTTGAAAAGTTCATCCACATCGCACTCGACCTTGATTTTTGAGAACTTTGTAAATGCTGATCGAAAAATAAATCCTTCCCGCAACTACAAGCTCTCATTTAAAAATTCCTAACTTCTAAGCACGGACAAATAAAAACTTGAAATTTTCACAGTTTCTAGAGAAGATCTGATTCTAAATACTCTGAAAATGCCATTCAAATCGCACTCGATCCTGATTTTTGCGAACTTTGAATGTGTTGGTCAAAAAATTACTAGCTACCTAGTTTTCAATTATTTAAAGCAAAAAATACTTGTAAATGTAAAATATAATTTGGTGAATACGACTGGATATTTTCTCAACCTTTCAGGAAACCATTTAGGTTTCCTCTGTTGGTTCTCCTCGGAAATCGAATATTTAACATAAAAATTAGCATAGCAGTTTGACGCAAATATCCGCGCACGTCGTTATATTGAATTATTGTTGTGTGATATGAATGTACAATATATCGCACAAGATTCGTTGCCATCATTTATTAGGAGACTTTAGGTTTCTGATATCGCTCTGATGAATCAATCAACCCCTGAGGAATTGCCAAGGCTTTTTTTTTAAATATCGATTTCTGATCTGATCTGTCTTTTTTTACAGCAGCATTTCCGCTCTATTGCTATTAACCCGGTTTCGTTCTATTTTAGTATGAATTATTATTTTGTGTAGAAGATGAAAAAGACCCTGCTATAGAAGTAGTAAATAGTTTAATAGAAAAGTATCCAAAAGTCCAAACAGATGTATTTATCGGGGGTTCAACTGTGGGTGTTAATCCGAAAATTAACAACATGCATAAAGCTTTCGAAGCATCAAATTACGACTTGATTCTCATCTCAGACAGTGGAATTCGCAGTAAGTACAAAAGCAGTTTCACTTGAATACATTTTCACTGAAATGGAAATGTTATTGAGTTTTTAGACACTTTTTTTCACCGTCACGGTTATCGGTGGTCATTATTGCATTTTTAAATAACATTGATAGTGGTTGAGAAGAGTGCACACCTAAGGTCACATCGTTATATCCTTGAAATGCACACATTAAGTGCTTGTAAAAATTTAATAACGCAAGAATCACACGGACAAATGAATTTTGTGGTCATTTAATCATTATCATGACATTGTGTTATTTTTACTTTTTTAGGTACACGGTATGTTTAACCGACAACTTACAAGTTCAAATAATTTCTTGACTGATTTGATAAATAAACTCGTTTCTTTCATTGTAAACGCACTGTATATGGGTAATTCTATCAAAGCACGGCTAGAAAAAAGTTGTGGTTGTCCCATAATATTGAATTTTAGATAATTTCAGCAGATTGCGTTTCACACTTTACTTACATACCTTGCATATGCAGCTGCAATATTACATTACCTGTGGTTTTTAATGATAAAAATGGGCAACAGAGCTGAGTTTTTAGGGCTTTATGCCGTCGGAGAATATAATGTCTTTAAATGTGTTTTGCTCGAGGCAAAACAACCTCTGACGATGCAAGCCACCTTTGCTCGCGAAACGTTAGCAAGTAAAGAAATTCTCTTCTGCCACGCCCTAAAATCGTGAAAGGTTCACCAGTTAAAAAAATTATCAAACGAGTCAATCCAGTGTAAGCTTACGAGCCAAACATCTGTTGAGAAGCAAAACACTCGCGGTGCTGAAATTATTTTCCGCGACGGCCCAAAAGCCCGAAAATCTAACTTTCTAATTTTCCCTTGTGACAGAAATTCGATCAATGTTTGGTTTTCCTAATCTGAATACTCTTGTTGTTTTATGTGGTTGAAAAATCTATTGTTTGCCCGTTTGTTTTTAACAGGCAAACATTTCAGATGGAAACGTATGATATGAATTGAGCTTTCACGTTATCTGTTAACGGAAACATTAGGCATTCATGATTTGTATCCCTGTTCCTCTTTGTTTTCGGTTTGATTCTTACTTTTCGACGCACGCGGCCCATTCATAAACTACGAAAAATACGTCGATGTCTAATAGTTTGCCGCTTACTTTTTTCATAATTAATAATAATCATAACATGATTTTTTCTTCGTAATTTATGGTTGTTTAATATTTCATCTCAGACAATTAGATATTGTAAATGTTTTGTAGTGAAAGAAGATACGCTCCAAGATATGGTAAATCATATGACAGAACGAACTGGTATCGTGCACCAAATGCCGTTTACCAGCGACAGAAATGGATTTGCCGCAACACTAGAAAAGGTAAATGAAAAAACTTTGTAATGACTGAATGTCTGTCAATGTCGACTAAACTGATGCGTTGTTTCAGATTTATTTTGGTACAGCGCAGTCTCGCATGTACCTATCCGCTGACTGTGTACGAGTCAATTGTCATACGGGCATGTCAACCCTTATGCGCAAACATGTTTTAGAAGAAGAGGGCGGTTTGAAAAGTTTTGGCTGTTATCTCGCTGAAGATTTCTTCATATCTAAACACTTTTTGGATAAGGGCTGGAAAACGACAATCAGCAGCCAGCCGGCTATGCAAAATTCTGGAGTTTGCGACGTGCACAGTTTTCAAGCTCGTCTTACTAGGTGAGTCAGTTTTGCATTTTTATAGTTTTTACAAACTAGTGGCCGAATGAAATGTCTGAAGCAATACGCATTTCCAAGAACGGGACTATAAAATTTTGCAATCAGTGATAAATATTTTTAGAATCTCGTTTACTCATTGTGGTAAATAAACGTTGATAACATGGTCTGAGGAGATCACAGTTCAACAATTTTTTCCCCACATTTAAACTGGGTTTTTAATAAAGGAAATATGTTTTGTTGTATTCATCTATTTTGAGTAAATGTGCCAGTAACGAGCTAATTAATTTATTCATTGTTGATCAATCAATATAGTTTACGAGTGACTCATATTGATATACTCATATTCACCGTTTTATTATTATTATTGTTAGCATCTTCAATAGCATCTTCAATAGGTACCTGCTTATTAAATTGTTAAAAAGGCGTATAACTGAATGTATCGATGAATTTTAAGGGCATGGACTTATCGTTATTAAACGCAGATAATGCCTTTTTTTCAGCAAATGCAAGAAATGCTGTCGGAGCGATTTCAATAAGGTTTCACACCATTACATTACCTCATCTTCACATATCTAGTTAATACAGATTAATGTCGATAACAACATTATCTTTGTTTAGTTTGCAATGAAGGCTACTAATATATAGAATGGAATTTCCGATACGAGGGCCATACCTGTTAAACTTCTATGATTGTTTAAGCATTATGAACGGTTTATTGCTGAAATAAATATTTAAACTGTTTTAACCATTATCGCATGTAAATATACGCTTGCCGTTGTAAAGAGCACATTTTTGGCAAGGATGTTATGACCTAAATTGGAACTAATAAACCACGTCAGAACGGGATTTGTGCACAGGTACAAATAATTTAAATAATAGTCGTTTAACAGTTCAGAAGTTTAAATTATTTTGCACTCCACTTGTGGCACCATCAGATCAATCAACATGTTCATCCAACTGATTTATTGGTTCTAGAGGTAGCACGCAAAAAATCAGATCTAAAATGCGAATATCGAATATCAAGGTACACATAAGGAGTGTATATAATGTAATCGAAATACTATTGATCATTTTGATAATTCCGTTGTGCTATCTTGCTTGTTGTTCCGCCAACACGAACACGTGGCGCAGACCCTTCATAAAAATAAAAAAAATAAAAATCGGGTTTGGATAATAAGTATTCTGAAGTAAATAGCTAGATATAAATAATTGACATAATTATCTGGAAACCTTTTACCAAGCCCCATTCTAAGTTGCCGAAATTTCCGGTTTCACAAGAAATTATTTTGAGGCCCCATTATGTTGAAACAGGAAGAAATATGTGCAGCATAAATTGGGGCCTTTGCCTTAATATGGAATTTTCGGCACTTATCGATGAAAAATTGGAGCAATAGCGAAGGGCAACCGAGCGGCTGAGCCTATAGTAAGCCAATTATGGAACAGGTAATAATTCAAACGATATTGCCCGATTTCGCTCTGTGCATCAATATGCTCTATATTAATTCGAATTTGTAATACCTGATAAAGTTGTTTACCATATTCTCTTGATTAGAAGTGAGCACATTTTTCCTAGACAGTATTTACTTGGCTTGATTTACTGGTTTATAATTGTTACAGAAACGGAAACGATAGTCATTAAGAACAGTTCAGTAAATACGTTCAATTCACACAACCCCGTATTTTTGGTCTGCTGAAATCAATCGATGTTCGGGCCATTGTTAATAGATCAATCTTTAAATAGAACGTCGTAAATTATTTGTCTTTTCAAAGTGATTTAGTTGAACCATGCGAAATGTTCCAAATGCTAACCATAAATTACTGTTGTTGTTCTAAGCATTTTATGGCAATAAGTGTTCAAATTAATGATTTTCACTAAACAGGTATAAAGCGTGGATAACACGTAGAATAAAGAAACTGACGAGGTTGATTTGATAAATGATTCGTTAACTTGTGTTGAATTTATTCGAGCTTCATGGTTGGAAACAGTTGTTAATAGTTAGTACCTACTGAATTTTCCACAACAGGGAGAATGAAGGTGATAACTGCTCTGAAAGAAAAGTTCTTCCACTTCAATCGATTAACGAGCATTAAAGTGATTATCAAATTTCTTGGCGAATAAATATGGGCAATTTATTGACGCAAAACCCGCATTGCAGTTGACTTAGCACATTTCGTTTGCTTGGTAATTTACGATATAATTTTATTAAATAAACCCCAGCTCTTAAATTCTCTAATATTCTGTGGACATTTTCCTAAAATCAGTGAACAATAAAGCCCCTGGGCCGAGATAAATATTTGAAAGCTTAATGAAACGTCGCTTTAATTTGCCTTCGCAAAGAACCGTGAGTTTGACGTCAAGGACAGTAAACGGTTATGTAAATTATGTTTTACATCAGGGATGAGTTAGAATAATCGGGTTGTAAATTGCCCTCCAAATTTTTGACGTGGTCTCGAACTCGGGGAGTTTTGTTAATTTTATACTGGAAAACACATTTATTTATAAAATCTTCCGGTGCGTACGTAATTTTTAAAATTACCAGATTAGATAACCGATCGTTATTAGTAAATCCTAGCAAGTCTCATTGACACCGATAAGGTACTAGGTATGTGCTTTCTAAGTCATGCGAATTTTTAGAACCAATCGCACTTTTATGTTTGTACATTGGGATTACATAAAACCTACATGTTCTTGTGGTAATGTTTTTAATTTATTTACCGAACAACAATGTGACATGATTCAGCGCCAATCTTGTTATGCTAAAATCTCAATTATCACATGATTAATTACTTGCCGTTGCCATTCATCGCTTTCAAATGAAATGTGCATTAAGCATACACTCGGTTAAGTAAATCTGACTTTGTTGTCGAATGTTCACCACTAAAAGTAAGAACGCATTAATTCGCATCCGACAAGCGAAACGAATGAAAATTAATATTTCAAATGAGAGAACGCACATACATACTAGAGGTGTGGTTATTTTTCTATAACGGGTTACAACGTTCAATTTCACCTTGGTAATAGGTTTCAAAATGAGGTTCCAAAAGGAACATGTTACTCTTTAAATTTTTCATTAAAAATGCAGAATGATGATGATGATGATAGTAGAAATAGTAATGATATATAATGATTTCCTTTATTAAAAACATAGTTCTTAACATTGGTAAACGTAAAATAAAATCTTTTAAAATCAAAAACAAAACATAGGTCATAAGTAACTACTTAAAGAGCAAAAAAACTGATAATAATAACTAGTGTTTAAATAAATTAAACGGTTTATATGCGAAAATGTGTAAAAATCTCATTTTCATTTAAACATGACTTAACATTTAAAAATAATTTTTTTTGCAGTTGCTTTTTACTGATTAGTTCTTCGCCCGTTTATGATAGCACCCGCTTTAGAAAATAATCTCTCGCATTTCGTTTCACAATAACATTAAATAATCCACAATAACACCAAACAGAAATGCGTGTTTGGCAAACCTGGACGAAGTATTACTGAGTTAATTTCGGTACCACCAAAAAATAATTAAAAAAAATATGTCGACCTTACAAAGTTTATTACTATTCAAAAAGTTTTATTTCATCGCTCACTGAATTTGTATTTAAAAATGGCCAGCTTGCTTAAATGTAGGTGCACATTCTGCTTAAAACGTTTGTTATTTTACATTTCAACTGTGATGGAATTTTTGTTTTAGACTCTTAGTTTGCTCATAGCCCATATGCAAGTGCACATTCTGCTTAGTTTACTGGTAATGGGCATATAACTCCTTAGCTAAGTTTCTTGAGAAAAATCCCTTCAGGTTTATGAGACGGTTCCAAAAACAACGGATTTAATTGGCAAACAGCTGCAGCTGGTGCGAAGTGCGCACAACTGTTTCTGTTTTATGAGACGGTTCCAAAAAGAACTGTTTAAATCGGCAAACGGCTGCAGCTGGATAGCTCGCTCGACGGTGTCCGAAGTGCGCACCGTTATTTCGGTTTTATGAAACGGTTCCAAAAGGACCGGTTAAATCGGCTAGCTGTAACTACAGTTCTCACCTCAGGAATAATGTTGCATAAGCCGTACTGAATGCTCATGGGAAAACAACAAGCACAATATTATTTGGAATGTTGAATTTCGGATTTCCTTCCTGCCCTAGAAGGAGCAACAAAAAAATCCTTTTTGATGAACACCGAACAGTTTATTACTTGGAAGAATGTCGCCAATATTTCACGTTAGGATTAGGCGTTCATAACTCATAACTGTTTTTTAGAGGTGTGAGAAATGGTTATTTTTCTGTAACGGGTTATAACGTACCAGTTCCACCTTGGTAATAGGTTTCGAAATGCGGTTCCAAAGGAACATGTTACTTTTTAAATTATTCATTGAAATGCAGAATGATGATAATATATAATGATTTGCTTTATTAAAAACATAATTCTTAGAATTGGTAAACTTAAAATAAAATATTCTAAAATCAAAAACAAAATATGGGTCAGAAGTAACTACTTAAAGAACAAAAAAAACTGATAATAAACTAGAGTGATTAAATAAAATATACGATTTATATGCGAAAATGTTTAAAAATCTCATTTTAATTTAAAAATGAATTAACATTTAAGAATAATTTTTTTGCAGATGCTTTTTACTGAGTCTACTTCTTCGATCGTTTCTGAAAGCACCCGCTTTAGAAAATAATCTCTCGCATTTCGTTTCACAATAACAACAAACAGAAATGCGTGTTTGGCAAACCTGGACGAAGTATTATTCCGGTTAATTTTGGTACCACCAAAAAAAATTTAAAAAAATATATCGACCTTACAACGTTTGTGACTTCAAATAACTTTCATTTCATTTCTGAATTTATATTTAAAAATGGCCAGCTTGCAAAAATGCAGGTGCACATTCTGCTTAAAACGTTTGTTATTTTACATTTCAACTATGATGGAATTTATGTCTTAGACTCTTAGTTTGCTCATAGCTAATAGCAGAAATCCTTTCTCTTAAGATTTCTTACAGAATGTCAGACATCTAAATATTTATAGACTAAAAATGCTGAATTATATATTCGCAGCAACTAAACAAATTTTCGGCTAGCTGTAACTACGCTTACAGGTTACACGTTTGGAACACTGTTATTTTAGCGGTTACTAGAACTAGAAACCAGAAGAAACTCTAACTATGAAGTCTCGAGGCCTGTTGAGACACTTACTGTCGTTCGTTGTAGATCACGTTAATGTTGAACGAAAATCCTGAATGACAAATTGTTGTCTGCTCCGGAATTTGTTTTAAAGGTTTAAGTAATCAGTGATGATTAGCACTCCCAAATAGACAGGATTTTATCTGAGGTCGCACTTAACTTGGGAAATATTTAACCCTAATCTTAAACCATGCATGCCAGTGAATTGAATATGTTTTACACTTTTCAATAGCTATGGTTTTACTATGACTATCCCTCATGAGTCAACTGGATAATCATGCGGAATTGGGTCATATGATAAGGTCCTGATTGATGTGCTTCTTATTTTTTTCTACTTGCCTTGAGGTACCCAGATTTAATGTAAATTATATTTCCAAAATTTGATTCAGGTGGGCTAAATTGCGGATGGCAATGTTACCATTGGTGATCGTTTTCGAACCCTTAAGCGAGTGCATGGTGATTGGAGCATGTGCAGGATGGGCCACCAGTCTTTTGTTTAGATGGGAACCGCTGGTTTTTTACTTAATTCACATTCTAGTATGGTTTTTATGTGACTGGCTGTTGTTGTCAATTGTACAGGTAAGTGACTTTAAAAAAACGTAAAAAATAAAAATGTCTTCGATTAAATACTCATAGGGTATGTTAGAAGACAGTGGTTGTTACATTCGAGGTATCAGGCTATAAAAAAGGTTTCGTGAATAAGTAGGTATATCTGGAAATAGTGATGAAACGTCAGCGAATTAAGCAACTTATTAATAGAAAACTGACCAGTAGACAGTGGAGTGACTGCTCCATTGTGGGAACGACTAATAAAACATTCAAGTACTCGATAAGTGTCGTAGACTTTTATTAGAAAATTATCCTATTCATTTATAAACCATTGAGTTCTAAAAATACTTGCTATTTCAAATATGTACTAGTTTTACTTGTCTCCAAACTTAATAACATCGTATTGTCGGTATTTGAAAAAGGAGTTTCTAATGATCATTTGTTCCACAAAGTTTAGCCTGACATGTAGATTACCCATGTCAGGTAATGACTTTATATATGTTACCATTGGAATAATGACCGAGTGTACGATTCAATCAATATTACACTCATTTAACATTTTTTACAATTACAAATAAAATAATTTATATGGCTTTTTTTCTAAATGCATTAGCCAGGTGCATGAAACTGTTTGTAAAACATTAATTTCAGGCTAGAAGTTCTTCTAGTTGCTGATCACGGTTCTCCAAGTTAATCACATTACATTGTCTAAGTATCGAATCATTTACGAACAATTGTTTATTTAGCGAGTCACCTGGACAGCTTTTATTCATCAATTTACTTCAACCAGTAATTTCTTTGATAACTTATTTATAACGGAATCATTTCCAAGCTTTATTAATCGCAGCACAAAACTACATAAGATTTCTTTAATTCTGTGCGGAGCTAATAATTTTATAAATACGCACTTTGTTGTTTATTTACATTAGGACTAGGAAACGTTCACAACATTATGCAACATAAGTATTAAAGTAATTGAATCTAGAAATACATTCAGATGGCTGAAAATAGACAGTTATTGCAATTTTTGGACGCTTTGAACGTTCATTGAAAATTGTGACTTTTTGCCAATAAAATAAACTTACCAATGCTTTTCCCCATTACTAATACTAAGTAAATTTAAAAACAACGTATTTAATTTTCTATAAGTAGACTTATCTACTGGTTAATTTACATAGTAAATAGTTGGTTGCACAATTAAATTAATTTCGCACTTATTTATAGTTGAGCGATGCAAGTGCACAATAGGTTTTAGTCATCGTTTTTTAGACTTTTGCTTAACGTGTGTCTTTAAATATAAAATATATTATAGAACACTAGTTGTAGTTGCAACCCTGGCCAGTTACCTGATTTAAACAGTCCTACATGCAAAGTGACTGCCTTAATTAAACGATTTAATTACTCATTTGGTTAATAATTGTTGATTAGCTGCTTTATTATGTCTCATCAACGCAATTTTTTAATATCTAACACTCGGGGTTATAGGTTAACCAAGATACCACGATGTTGTTGGAATTAGGTACATATTTTACACACCTCAAGGATAAGTCACAATTAACTTTCCTTTGTTAATGTTGTTTTCATCTCATATTAAATTGGTCTATTTTTAATTGAATTTCAGAATGGTTCCTTGCCTTTTAGCAAGTTTGAGTTCATAATCGGATGGCTATTTAGAGAATGTACAGGGCCATATCTCTTTATCTTAGCAGTATTTGATCCGTCAATACGATGGAGGAATAGATGCTTCAAACTGGCTTGGGGTGGAATTGCCCAGGAAGTCAGTCCTAGATCGAAGTGTTGAGAATCTAAATTAACCCGTTAAATGTACCAAACATGCGTTGTCGTAAATTATGATTGACTGAAAGTCTGCTATGCCATTGTAATGGAACCTTTATTTCTACATTTTCCATATGTAGATATTCTAAGCGCAAAGTTAAAGGACATTATTTGGCTACAAATGCCGTTGGCTAAACTATTAGCGTTATGAAGACGTTAGATCTCCAGAAGTATAAAAGTGATTTTTTTAAGGTAATTTTAAGATATCATTGCTTAGTTGTAAGCTTTATTCTCCACATAAGTTTACAGTTGAATCACTTGGACGCTATTTATGCGAGAAGAGGCTGCAACTCACTCAATTTAATTTATTGTAGATTACCGAAATCGTATACGTAACGTATTTTTGTAAAATTTAACGGCTTCTAAATTCCTATACTATAAGCAACAGTAATTCTAATTAGAATGTTCTTCCGAATATGTAAATTAGGTGTAATTACAATATTAGGAAAGTGGAAAATACTGGTAACATTCTACCTTTTGAAACTTTTAAAGCAACTAGGGTTGTGTCTTTTTTTCGTAACACCAGCAGCTCATCGTAAGAGTGTAACAAAAGTAGCTGATGGTTTACAAAAATGCTTGTGTTACTTAAAGAATACTACCACTTCATAAAATTTACAAGAATTTTTGTTATTTATTATTTAATAATGTAGGGATATAAATGAAATATCACATGATTTATTTCGTATTGCGTAACTTTGAGTCGCTTTTTCGTTTTATCATCCTGCCTTTTTTAAGTAGTACCTAGTGTTTTAGTGTAAGATTTAAGTGATAGATTATTTATTTTTATTCTTTATACACTTCTTTAGAAACCAATTTAGTTTTATTTGTTAGCATGATTATTGTGACTGATTTATAATTTCCCAGGCTGTGTGCCATAAATATGGACAGAACAAACGAGATATTTTCGACAAACTACTTTGATATTAGAAAATGTCTCTTTTGAATTCCCAAACAAAGCCCAATTTTTGTAATTAGTTTAAGCATAATTCGGTTCTATGCTTTAATTGCCTGATAATAATAACACAAACATTTTTATTTAAATGTATTATGTATTATTTTCAGTAATTAAATTTTGTTATTCACAATCTCTGTTGAAACGAAATAATTTGTAAAGATCGATTTTAATAAACACGTTTACATTGTGAATGGTTGTTTTTATCCCTCACTTGAGCACTGAAAGAATGAACGTTTGAGGGGCCCACAAGCTCGACAATCTCGGATCCTCTCCAGGATGAGTATCAAAGCAAGAAAGTGTTAAAGGATAAAAAGTTTCTTGATCACGATGAGCACAATCAAGCAAATGTATTAAAAAATCGGTCGAGATTGTAATATACTAATAATAAAAAAATGGTGGCGAGTCTCTTACAGATACGAACCTATTTATTTAAAACAATGATGTCGGAGAGATTAGATAATGATAAAACTTATCCGTTATCCTTTTAGACGAAGTTGATTGTGTTTAATTGTGATCAAAGCGTACATGTGTTGTTTTGTAAAACTGCAGTGTGAAAAATAGTTAATATGGATAACTTGAATGCCTACAACAATGCAAGTTACGAGCAAATGGAAGGTACGTAACTATCAGTGATAATTACTTAATTGAGAGCAAATTGTTATAGATAATTAGGTTTCCGCATAAATCCAGCTTCCTAATTCGCAAAGTATAAACATGAATTTTGAATTTCGGATATGAATACTGAAAAACCGTCTCTTTAAGTATTCGTTTTGTCGTGTCGTTGTTACCAAAATAATACACAATATGATTAAATCTTTTACAAGCTTTATGAGTCATGACGAAGATTAGATGGCACTTTAACAAGCACTTTTTAAATATTCATTTTAAGTTTCGGTTAATTATTTAAAGGCTTTTAACATCGGGGGAAATGCTGGTTTATAAATCATTTCACCAATTTTTTATTCCCTACTTGGTCTAACTTATTTCCAGAGATATTCGAAATAATCCATTCATTTATCAGTAGGTCCACATGTGATCTATTATTGATGATATTTGCTTAAACGTATCTGATTTACAGCTTTTAGATCTCGATCGAGATATTTATTAATTGGCTCTAAAATAAGATTATTTCATCTGATGCGTCCGGTTTAATTTTTTTGTTTTATCCAACATCTTCACAGCTTTGAGTCGTGGTGAGGTTCTTAATTTCTATTTTTCAGACATTCCATTACCTGTATTTTCTGAAACTAATAATTCGCTTGATTATAAGAACGTGCGTCTTGATACAGGTAGGCAAATCTTGTTCACCTATAGCTAATAATGCTAGCTATTTTACTGTTCAGGATTTGAATCAAATCACAACATGACTGCGACTGAATCGGTATACTCACAGCGCGTTATTACTTCTCAGCCTCTCTCAGGAAGCAATGGAAGCTTAGGTATTTAGAGAACACCAGTTAGTTGATCTTTTACTAGGTAGTGCATGTTTTTAGAGTCTTCTGGAAATAGAAGAGCCATACCCATATCAGTAATAAATCGAGATAATTTTGGTACAACGTTCCAATCGCCTATTAATGGTCTCGACCTAATGAGAAATGCTGATCAACTGATTATTCAACAAAACTGTGATGTAACTGACTGTAGGTACACATAAGGGGGCGAAGCAGAAAAAATGCTTTAACACACCAAGATTATTTTGCGTGTTTCTTAAATTTGTTGTTAATTCAAAAATCGACTATATCATTGTTGATAAGTTCTATATTGTTGAGGCGGATTCATTTTTTACAAACTTCTTTTTAGGTATTTCGCCTCAAAAATTTTTGTCTTTAAAAAAGACACAATTTCCTCACGTCTTTTATTACAGATTGATAAATAGTGCTCCTATTTTACAATAAGAACGAATTATTTATCAAAAAGTAATCAAGAACTATCAC